TCCGATCTAATAACCACATGATTAGAAGAAGCATTTCACTACAGATTTAACATATTCAGTAACACACTCCAGAGCAAGAGTACATGTCTTTCACAAGTGGCTGTAAGTTTCTAGGTTCACAGTTGAGTTAATACAGTTATACAATATTGAACTCAGTATAAACACTGTAAGACATAAAATTGAATGATTTTTTACCCTTTAAAGAAGATCTCCATTTCATTTTAAGATACTGTCTCCTACATTTTTACTGCTACTAACACGTACATGTTTGCACATGTGTCTTTAATTTCTATGTCTCTCATTATAACTAGTCACAGTTGGTTACACTAGGATCCTTAGTACCTGAGTATGGATGTAAAGTCATCAGGTAGATTTCACTGGTAATGTTTATCACCTCTACTATTTAACATGAAGTAAATTATTATGCTACCTCCTCAAATATGTTTTTTTTTTAATTTGTTGATTTTTCTGTGTGTATATCATACAGAACCTCCCACACAATCTTATTCATCTATATACCCACTTCCCAAATGGCACCCTCCCATAGCCTCCCCCTTCCCACCTACTGGAGCCCCCATACTTTGTCATCCATGTTACTGTCCCCTGTGTTGTCGACACCCCCAGCCATTCTCTGGTGCTTGTCCATCTGCTGAATCTAGTTAGCCTATCTAGAGATCCTTGTTTTAGGAATCTCAGCTGTTCCTCCTCTAGCAGCAATCAGTTGTCAATATTCCTTTAGATAGCTGTATGTATCTGATTATTGCTCATAATTGGTTGCATTTGGATGCTTGGCGCTTGTGTATGTCTATAAAGTCATTGGGTAGATTTCAATGGTAATGTTTATCACCTCTACTAATTAACACGATGTAAATTTCCATGCTTCCTCCTCAAATATAATACATGTTTTTTAATTTGTTGATTTTTTGTGTGTATGTGTATATATTACATGGAACATCCCAAACCATCTGATTCAAATACACCCACTTCCCAGATGATGCCCTCCCATAGCTTCCCTCCCCCACTAGAGCCCTTATACTCTGATATCCCTGCTACTGTCTGCTGTGTTGTTGGCACCCCCTAAGCAGGATTACTATCTGGGAATCCCTTTGGCCACCCTGGCCAACAACTCAAAAGAGGGTATCTCCTATCTGGCATTGTTGCTTGTTATGTAGCCTTTAGCTATACATATTATGGACTCTTAAAAAATTATATTGGCCCCTTTAATCCTTGGTTATACTTTCCTTTTGGGTGTTTAAGGCCATACAGTTAGCCCAGATGAACCAATTTATTTTTACTCTTAAGGTGATTTGAGGATCTGTTCCTCAGGGGTCACATGGGCTTGGGAGGAGCCCCTGGCTCCTTTCTTTTACCAGTTCTGCTGATGTGAAGATAAGTCAAAGGTCTTACTCGACCATGGCTGGCATCACTTGGAAGCATGGAGGAAATGATTCCTCTG